TGAGAACTTGGGGTCCTCTCCTTTCGACCGCTCAAGGTTGGACTCCTTAAGACACTTGCGTACAAAGGACTTTGGATAACCGTTGGCTTGAAATAGGGTATGCAAGTACTTAATCTCCTCCTTTTCCCACTATCGTCGCTACAGTTTGTTTGAAGGCGTTGGAAGAGGGTCTGAACACAACTGTGTTTGTGACCAACGGGGTGGATGCTTCTGAATAAGGGGATGAGCGTGCTGTCGGCTGCCTTACTGTACACCGTTGTCCTTACCCTCCCGTCTTCCTGCTTCGTCACTTGTACGTCGGGGAAGGGCAACTGATTGTTGACCTCTTCCTCCATAGTAAACTAGATGTCAGGTAATATAATCACATTCTGACTACAGTGCACCCTCGAGGATGCAAGGTTACTGAGGTTGTTGCAGTAACAGTCATTGTGCATTTGTATCTATTTGTATTTAGAAGTGTTGTTGATTTATATTTGTAGATTTTCCTAATTTGTATTATCGTTTAAATTATTGCGGAAAAACCCGAGTATCAAACTGCGGGTTTCTTGAATTTCCCAAAAAACTGAAATGGCGGTTAGGAGGTCGTCTACTTCAACTTACCTGAGGTCCAACTTACCGTTCTGGATTTAGATTAGTATAGTCCGCGGCACGAAGCCCGCGCACACCTTCAATTTACATGCGGAACAACTTACTCCCAACGACCGCGGGAAGCAAATTAGTATAGTCCGCGGCGTGAAGCGCCACACACACCTTCAATTTACATGCGGAACAAATTACTCGCAGCGGCCGCAGGAAGCAACTTCGGCTACAGTTTTTTTCACGCCATAACCACCGTTTCTGCAGGAAAAAATGCTGGGACTAGGGGTACATGAGTGGGCCTACATAAGCTACTGTTGCCTCGTGTGTGTGCAAAGAATGACAACAAAGGCGGTTCTAAAGGGACTTACGTCAAAAATAGAGGCATTATCGAAGGGGACCGCACCGAAGGTGAACAACTCCCAGAGGAAGACACCGAAGGACCAAACATCGGTATCGAAGTGGAATATACCATCGACCAGTGACTCCAACGGCAACCAACGAACGGGCAGCGCTGAGACACCGGTATCAATGAGGTCAGTACTGCGATCCACCAGACGGCACATGGAGAAGTCAGAAAGCTTGGCTGTCCAGTCCATCGCAACCAGGCAACTCCGCGTAGCCAGGTCCCTGTGAAATGTGGGAAACCGCATAATAAATGGACTACCAGAAACCAAAACAGGGTCGGCTCCTTCACAAGCGGTGGACAGGCAGCGCAGCCAACACAAGGCAGCCGACTTGTAAATGGGCCTGTTTTCGGCCGCCTGCGAAAAATACGTTCAAGAAAAAAGGAAAAGTCAAGGAGTACAAATTTTCCCTATCAGTCTTTGGTGACCTTAGAAAACTGTCTACTTACTTCGTAACAGTAGGCATGGTCTATTTAACACGAAAATCTTAGTACGCCATCCCCGACATACTAATGACCCCCACGCACATCTAACTAGGCCATGTCGGCAGAGGTATAATTGGTAGCGCACCCTGTGTTCTACGCATAGGGTGAGTGTTAGGTTTAGAATAAGGGTTAGTGTTATATATAACGAAATATATAGGTAGTTATATAGTTAACTACATAAGCGCGATCTGCCTTACTTGTCGTTCCAACGAACGCCAAACGCCTAGTTTTTCACACTTGGGTCAACTCAAATTAAGCAAATCTG